ATAGAAAATGTTGAGAAGCCCAAATTGCCCAAACTAGTTTGGGCTTTGAGAAAACAGTTTGGACCAGAAACCTTATTGTTTACTCTGGCAAAAAATACATCAAAATAAAAGTTTTTCATATATTTGTTATTTTTTATTATTCAAGTAACAATTTGATTAATTCATACAAGTTTGTGTATGAAAAAGCATGATTTTTTTCTTCATTTTTTCATATAAAATTCTGTGTTGATCAAAAAAATTTTATTAGTGAGTGACACTTGACCCCCTGTAGATCTGCAATGTCCTGCGACTTATATACAGGTAATCATATATATAAGTTTTATCATTTTATTAGTTACTTCACTTTGGATGTCATTTGAATTGTACTTATTCAAAATGGAATTAGGGACAGTAAATTTAAGTTTTTGTTGAAATTTTTTTTAATAGCAATTAAACAATTTAAAATATAACTACTTCTGCAAATAAATCAATGCAATAAAAGATTTAAACAAAGATTCCTTTTATTTATATCAGAATAAAGGTGCTTTGAATTAGAAAGTAATCAGACACATATTTTTCACAATCAGAATATCTATTCGTTAAAATAGATATACAGAACATATAGCTGCTGATAGTTGTGGATGTCAAAATCATTGTGACATAGACTTTTCCAGAAGGTAAATGTCATGATAGTCTTTAATGAGTCCTCACCCTTTAACTTCATTATGCCAAGGTATTATTTTGCTCAAAAAATAAGGATACATTGCTTCTCCTTTTCTCCCTGCATAATCAAAGTCAAGAATGCATATGCGTTTATCCTTGGTAGATATCATAAGATTTGGTGAGCAAAGATTACCATGAACGTATCCTGCATTATGTAATTTTTTTGCTGCATTAATAGCCAGTTCCAATGCCTCATGCTTTTCCACATTGGTTAATAAAGCATCACACAATGAAATAAAGCTATCTGCTGAAAGGTATTCCATAACTACTAGCATCCAACCTCCTGCAAGTGTATTGACAGCCACCAGCTTAGGTGATATCATTGCCTCATGACAAAAATGGTGTACATCCTCACCATACTTCTTTACAAACTTGACAAGCAGACAAGAGTCATTTTTTTATCTGACTCCACCAAAAATAATAACTTATAGTGTAGAAGCTGATGTTTATACTCAAAGTTGACAATGGTGTTGTCAGCACCCTTAAAGGAACATACATATGGATAGCTAGTACATCTTGGTTGATCTAAATTATCAATGTTTACTTGCTCTAACTTGTCATAGTAGTGTTGTAATGATTCTATACCATGTTTCAGAGCACAAAATGTACATTCAATAACAATCATTCCATCAATATCGAACTCCAAAGGTAGTAAATGAAAAGTATGAACAAGAGGATACATTGTAAATGTGTGCCCAAAAACTGCACCTCCTATGCCAAGCATGGCCCCAGCAAAATACACAATAAAATCAGGATTAAGTCCATATCGTATGTTTGGATTGCTCTGTGAACCAACAAACTTTGTATATGATGCACATGTTTGGATGTATGCACATCCAGACCCATCTCCAAGTTCGTTTTTTGCCTCTCCAAGAAGCAAGAGGTGCTGTATTGAGTTAACATTATGAGTGATTACAACATCAGCTGTTTGGATCGTCTGTGGTAAGGGAAGCTTGGTGACTGGGGTTTGAAAATACTCACTTGCCCATGATCAAAATGCCTTCACCTGTTCATTTTCATTTTCATATGAAGCTGACATTAAGAATGTTAAATTTTTGATTGATTCACAGTCTTCATCTGTAATTTGAATACTTGAAAGGTCATCAACAAATTTAGCAAAAACAGGATCATACTAAAGACTAGTGCCGTAATCCAAAAAAGGAAAAAGTATGGTTGCAAAAGTGGTTGCAAAAGTAATTGCAACCACTTTTTATATGCAGTAAGTACAATTACTACCATCACCATAATTTACAGCACTAGTCTTTAGATCATACAAAGTAAGTGGAAGGTCTGGCAAGTTATTTCCATGGCTATTCAATATCAGATCTTTGTATTTTGAATTATTCCATGTAGCATTCTTGCAAAAGTGGATGGTGGAGGCATTCCTTCCACCTGTTTACAGGTTTGTTCAGCATCTCTATAGGTAAGAATCTCCTGGTTTTGTTTCTTCCCTTCGATGTTGGCCCTTCATCTGTCAAATAAGAATATAGTTATAAACAGTATACCAAATAAATAAGTAAAAATGAATGAAAAATAGTTTTTTGTATCCAAAATTTGCATTATGTGATCTTTACTTGTATTTTTCTCTTTTAATTGTTTTAACACGTACACTAATTATTTATGTATGGAGCTCCTAGTTTTTTTGGAAAACAATTTATTTTTTGACAGATGACAAAACACGAGTGATGTTGTTTAGTATGATTTGGTTCTGAAGATGTGTTAATAACTAACCAAAGGTACTATTTTTTATTTGTATTGACATATAAATATTTTAATTGGAATCAAAACGTGGTGCAGATCAGCATAGCAGTCACAGGACATGTCACGCAGATCAATAGGGAGTTGTAAAACATAGTAAATTTTTGGTGATCTGCATCATAGTAAAATTCGAATTTACATAGTAAAATTTTACAATCAAGTGACTTCTAATCCCCACTTAATACCCTTGCTGTGTAGCAACCACTGCCAAATTTGAGATATAACTTCTTTGTCATATGTATCTGCTTTAAGAAAAATTTTAAAGCAGGTTGTTAATAAAACCAAAAATAATCTGACCCTCAAAGTCAAATTTTGTCTTTATATTCATATATGTAAAATTTTGTTTGACGCGTTCAATTGCAAGTATAAGTAGAAATAAGTGTCCAAATATTACACTATTATGAATATTTGTAGATTTTTGATCACTTAGGTATGTTTTTTATAGTAAAATCATTTATTTTAAAAGTAATATAATAAATAAATAGACATTAAAGTTTTTCTTTACCTACAGTATATACATAAATAATAATTATAATAGTAAACAAGCAACAATAATGATTAAATTAAAAGGTGTTTTATCTCTGACTTTATTCATTTAATTACTTGTCATAGTGATGTTATTAAATATAAGTTAAAATAAAAGGAATTTATATACATAAATAAATAACTATTGGATAATTGATAAAATGTTCATTTTTGTAAAATTTGCTTCGCAAGCTTCATAGATCTTGTCCTTAATGCTTACTTCAATCACTCTTATACAAACTATTGAATAATTGATGAAACATTTGTAAATATATTTTGCAAGGTTCATAGATCTTGCCATTAACACCTATTTCAATCACTCCTAAAGTTCCAACAAATCTAACATATCATATTATTAATAAATAAATTATGCGTAGTATAATCACTTAATAATAAGGAATCAGTCAGGATAGGAGTTTCAAAGTCAATATTAAAATGAATGTACAATAAGAATGATTCAACATTAATAATGATTCAACTACCAATAGTAAAGATACTGATTGAATAGTGGATAAATAACCATCTAGTCTATCAACAACTCAACATCATTAAATTAGATTATTATGATAATATTAATAAACAAATGCAAAAATTTAATCCTTGATTTTTGATTGATGGCAAGAATTTTTTATTTTTCCATCATAGATAATTAAATCAAAGATTTTTCAATTACACCACTACCAAGGCACCAATAATTATTATACCAAATAACAACATTCTAGATTTCAGTAATAATGACAATAATAATAATAAATTAATTATGTAAATAAATTACAATAAGTTAATTATTATAGAAGGTTACTTACTTGACCAGGAGCAATTGCTCTTACTGATTCTTTGAATTCAATAATATGTTTGTTGTTATTATGATCAAATTCAATAATTTTACATTTTACTATAAAATAGATAAAATAATTAATATGATCTGTTTGACATAAAAATGAAGTTTCTATCTATGCAAACCTGGTGTTTGTCTATATCTAATTTGTGCATGTAAATCATCACCTAATTAATTATAATTAGTAAAATAATAACAAATATGGAATAATAATAGTAATTTAATTACTTTGCAAAATTTCTTTTGGTAAGTCATTCCAAATCCAGATCCAATCTTTTGCAACAAGTTTTTTGGAATATAATAATGAATTTGTTCTACAAAATTACCATTATTGATATATAATTGATAATATGAATACCACTTGCCAATAATATTATTGTGATTACTTACGATCCAGGTACCACAGTTAAAGTATTATCTTCAACATTTATTTTTAATACAAACCATCTAAACAATAAGTAATTAATGTTAAAATGTATTTATTATTATCAGACATAAATTATTATTATTACCTTTCTTGTAAATAATTGATTTTTACACATTGCCCAATTGTATATGCAAATAATCCTTTATGTTCACCTGTCAATATTAATAACAATAACAATAACATTTTATCATATAAACTCAAAATATTATTATTATTAATATTATTATTATTGTATGATTTTTTACCAATTACTTTTCCATCAATTGTCAAAATTTTACCATTTTTTCTGTGAATGAATTGTTCCAAGAAATCTGAAAATTTCTTTTTTTCACCAATGAAACAAACACCCATACTTTCAGGTTTACTTGCTGTGATCAGATTCAATTCTTTTGCTATTGATTTAACATTTGTTTTATATAAATTTCCAATTGGAAATATTACCTGGCAAAATATAAATAGAAATCCATATAATTAAATTATAACATTTAATTATAATAATTAATTATATTTAATTAATTACTTTTTTTAATTTTCCTTCTGAAACTGTTGACAAAAAATAACTTTGATCTTTAAGAGTATCAACGCCTATATATATTCATTAATAAGTGACTTTATCCTATCATCATCATCACCACCATCATCATTATTATTATCAGATTACCTCTTAATAACTTTATTCTTCCTAAATTGTTATATTCAAGTCTAGCATAATGTCCTATTGAGCCAAAAAAAAAATTTATATAAATGTAAATATAAGTATAAATATAAATATATTATTAATTTTACCTGTTGCAATCCAAGTTGTACTATTTTCATTTTGACTGATTGATGTTGAAGAATTCAAACATTTATCCAAGAACACTCCAAATTTAATTTCACGATTGCAGATAATATCAGGATTAGGCGTTATACCATTTTCATAATCATGAATCATTTTAATAAACACATTTAACCAATATTCTTTAGTAAGATTAATCTTTATTAAAGAGATTTAGAAATTAAGGAACATACATACATATATATACACGCACACATATACATTTCAAATACATGTATGTGTGTAGATTTAATAAATTATTTAGATTAAAAAAAGATCTTATTCATTACCTGATTGCAAGGTATTTCTAATTGTTCACATACTTTTTGTACATCTGACCAATCTCTATCGCTTGTACATGCACCTATATCATCCACCAAATCCCAATTACGCATATAAATGCCTTCTACCAAATAACCCTAAAAGATCAATAGCAATCATAACAATTACCGATGATTAGTTAAAGTTGGTTATCAAAAAATTTTTTTTCCAATGAGAAAATTATTGCAAAAAATTTACCTGCCTTTTTAATAAATAAGCAGATACACTTGAATCAACACCTCCAGACATTGCTACTATAACTACCATAAATGATATATTAATTAAAAATTTATACTTATGATTTTTATGGTCAATTAATTACCTTTGTCGCCTGGTTGAGGACTTTTGTTATTATAATTTATAAATTTTAATCCGTGTAAATTGTTCTTTAGATATTTTGTTAATTTATAAATCATCATTTTTTTATAAACAAAAATAACGATAATAATCTCAAGTGAAGATTGGTTGGTACATTATCATGTAGTTATCCACAAAAAATATCCGCAATCGCCAAATCGATTTCTAAATAAGGATAACACGCACCCACACCAATAAAATTGGATATTCTCATGATGCTGCGCAAAATTGCGGATATTTTTGTGCGGATCACCCAAAAGTTAAAATTTTTGAAATATTATGCGATCCACACATTGGATTTTTAAAAACCTACCACCATTCAATTCAGCTTTAAAAAGGGAGCCTATTAATCTAAAAAAAAATTTGTCTCATATTTTCTTTCCATAAATTTGAAAGTTATGCTCAGAAATACAACAATAATTTTCGTGTCACAATATTTTGAATTTCGCGACCAAATTTGATAATGATTTTCTTTTAATGCAATATGTTCGTTCGTTAAACTTTTTGTTGTAAAGAACTTTTATTTATTAATAAAAAAAAAGGAAATGTTGTAGAAAATATTTTATGAAAAAAAAAGTTGTTACACGAAATTTACTTAGTTTCAATTTCTTAGGTGCGTAACAAAAAATATGTGACTTGAAAGAAAACCTAGACATTTACTAGCCATGGTAATGTTCAAACTCAGATTATGCCTGTTATTCAACCTAAGGTTGTGGGCGAGAAATCAATCGACAGAGTTTCGACAGGTTACACATTAATTGTTAATTAGAGTTTTGGCAGAGTTTCACATTTGGGGGTTTTGTCAATCGTCAGAGTTTTGACAAGGTATATACTAATTGTTCATTAGAGTTTCGACAGAGTTTC